TTGACTAATTTATTTGAAAACTGTTTTTGAACAATAACTAGTATTTAATCGAACTTTTAAAAATATGCTTCTAAGTGTATTTTCATCAAAAATAGTGTATTCGAGAAAAATATACTTTTTGCTGCTCGTAAAAATTGTTTGTTTTACTACTCAAAAATATATATTTTTTCCTTCTAAAAACTTGAATAAACACATTAACTTTGAGAAAAAAATATTTTTGACCAAAAACAAGCTTTGCCAAATAGGCTGTAAATCTTCTCCTTAAATAGAGANTAACAAAGACGACTCCATATCCAGGAGCTCGAACTTGAGACCTCTGATTAAAGATGAAGGAGTACTTAACACTCCACAATAATTTTTGTTGGAAAATCTATATATATATATATATATATATATATATATATATATATTCTAATAAATTATGTATAAAAATTATATAAATTTTATATACTTTTCCGGCTACCAAGTGCTAAAGTGATAATACCTGGCATTGATGTTGAATTAAAGAACGGCACGATAAAAATCTGACCCAGAATTCAACTGTAATTGCTTACTAACCAATTAACCGCTTTGTTTGGTGCGAGTAAAAAACACTAATTTATTATTGGGGCTAATGAAGAGTCGGTTCACGTGAACCTTCCTTGTCTTTTCCTTCCTTCGTCATTATCCTTTCCTATAAATACACTCTTTCTTTCCCCAATAAACAGAGTCACAACAAACAGAATATCACACTTTCCTCACGATTATTTTCTCATTCTCCCAGTTTCTTTCTTTGCTAACTAGTTCAACAATCCAAAGCAATGGAGTTACGTCCATTAGACATCAAAGTTATTGCCGCAGACGGCATAAAGAATGTCAATACTTTCTCTAAAATGGATGTCTATGTTGAAGTCTCCATCTCTTATCCTAGCCAAACCAATAAGCAAAAAACCTTCGTCCACAAAAATAGTGGCACAAATCCTAAGTGGAATCACTCAATGAAATTCACTCTTGACGAAACTTCCCTCACAAAACCAGGGCTTTACCTCATCTTTCGTCTCAAATCTGAACGTACCTTAGGTGACACAAAAATTGGTGAAGTCTCTATTCCTATTCATGATCTCTTTAATCAGTCTACTTCTAATGGCACAGCTGAGAGGTTTGTTGAATATCCAGTAATAACAGAGAGCGGAAAACCAAAGGGTACTTTGAAATTTTCTTACAAATTTGGTGAAAAATTTACAGCGGCTGATCAAAAGAAAGAGGTAAATCATGAGCCTGTTACTGCTTATCCTGCGCCGCCACATGCTGCTGGTGCATCATATGGTATGGCTTATAATCAGCAAAATCCCGGATATGCGTATCCTCCTCCTCCTCCTCAAACTTCTTATGGTGGATATCCACACGCTGGCTACCCACCTGCTGGTGGTGCACCTGGTTATGGATATCCGCAACCACAGCCTGGTTACGGGTATCCACCCGTACAACAACCTGGGTACGGATATCCACCGGTGCAACAACCTAAGAAAAAGAACAAGTTTGGAATGGGAGGTGGATTAGGCTTGGGATTGGGTGCTGGATTGCTTGGTGGTTTGTTGGTGGGAGATATGGTTTCGGATGTTGGAGAGATGGCTGCTTATGATGATGGCTACGGAGATGCCATGGGAGATATGGGTGGCTTTGATTTTTAGATTAATTTTGGTGCTTTGTAATTTTGTTTTATTTTGTTCTTTGGAGATATAATAAGCTGCAGTACTTTGTATATTTTGGAAGTTCTTTTATTTGTTTAGATCTCTTGTATTGAAGAGTCATTGACTACTTCTTGCTACGATTTTCTAACTGAATATGCTTTTAGTTCCTAAGACTACTTGTTATATTTTTTTTTATATTTTAATTCTCTTGGGTACAATTTTTCGTGCAAGAGTTCCCCTATAACCCGACTTTACAATTAATTTTTCGTTGAAGCAAAAAACATTATAGATCTTTGTTTTCCCCACTATAGATCAATCACTGTTTGCAAATAGTCTGTGTATGTGTCTGTCTGTGGAGAAGTTTTATTTTGTGTCTCATACAACTTAAACTAGTTCTATGAGGTTCATTTTTATCTCACAAATTTGTGGACCCCAATCTTACACTTTTGGGTTCACAAAACTGTGAGATAAAAAAGTTGTCTCATAATTCGGTGAGTTTTATCTTATATTCGGTGAGGGAGTGGGAATTTTCAATTTGTGGGGGAGAGGGTAAACAGTTTTGTTACTGATCATCTCATTACTCTCTGCAAGTAGACACTTCCATCAATAACACATACTGTATTAGAATTCTTGCATTTTGTTACTCTCTCTGTGTTAACTATTAAATTGCACTTTGATGTTCGCAAAATAATGATGCCAACAGGATTCGATCTACTCCATCTCAGGAAATGGAGCAGCTTAAAATATTGAGTCTAAAGGACATATTGCCCAAAGAATCAGGCATAGGCATAAATAGCCCTTGAAGACCAACTAGTTAGGATGAGATATGACACTGCAGAAATGCAAAGTTGCTGTCAAGAAATGAGACATGCAGAACGCTACGCAGAAATGCAAAAAAAAATGTAGAATGCTGCACAGAAACTGTGAGAATGCATAAATGATGATACTTTCTCTCCCATGGCTAAAATAGCATCAATTCACCTTTTTCGATCCATGGTTGTTGCTCGCTATTGGCCTCTCTATCAGTTGGACATTAAGAATAATTTTCTTCACGGTGACCTTGAGGATGAGGTTTATATGGTCTAAAGCAATCTCCTCGAGCCTGGTTTGGTAAGTTTAGCACAGTTATTCAGGAGTTTGGCATGAATCGTAGTGAAGCTGATCCCTCCGTGTTTTATCGGCATTCTGCTTCAAATCTCTGTATTTATCTGGTCGTTTATGTTGACGATATTGTTATTACCGGCAATAATCAGGATGGTATTACCAAGTTGACGCAGCATTTCTTTCGGCACTTTCAGACTAAGGATCTGGGCAGATTAAAGCATTTTCTGAGTATTGAGGTTACTCAGTCTTGCTCAGGCATTGTGATTTCACAACAAAAGTATGCCTTAGACATTCTTGAGGAGACAGGAATGACAGGTTGTAGACCTGTTGACACGCCGATGGATCCGAATTCAAAACTTCTGCTAGGACAGGGGGAGCCTCTTAGCGATCCTCCAAGATATAGGCGGCTCGTTGGTAAATTAAATTACCTCGCAGTGACTAGACCTGACATTTCCTTTCCTGTGAGTGTTGTGAGTCAGTTTATGGATTCTTCCTATTATAGTCATTGGGATGCAATTGTCCGCATTCTTCGATATATAAAATCAGCTCCAGGCAAATGTTTATTGTTTGAGGATCGAGGTCATAAGCAGATTGTTGGATACTTAGATGTTGATTGGGCAGGTTCACCTTCTGATACACGTTCTACGTTTGGATATTGTGTCTTAGTAGGAGGTAATTTGGTATCTTGGAAGAGCAAGAAACAGAATATGGTTGTTTGATCTAGTGCAGAAGCAGAATATCGAGCAATGACTATGGCGGCATGTGAGCTAATTTGGATCAAACAGTTGCTCAAAGAGTTGAAATTTGGTGAGATCAACCAGATGAAACTTGTGTGTGATAATTAAGCTGCTCTTCATATTGCGTCAAATCCAGTGTTCTATGAGAGAACTAAACACATTGAGATTGACTGTCACTTTGTCAGAGAAAAGATACTCTCGGGAGATATTGCTACAAAATTTGTGAAGTCGAATGATTAACTTGCAGAAATTTTCACCAAGTCTCTCACTGGTCCTCGTATTAGCTACATATATAACAAGCTTGGTACATATGATTTATAAGCACCAGCTTGAAGGGAGTGTTAGAATAGTTATGTAAATATACGTAAATAGTCCTAATCTCTTATGTAATAGGAGTAGATTATGTGTTACGTATACATATAAATAAGGCTCATTGTAACATAGAATATCAATAATAAATTTTGCTTTCTCACAAACAGGTTGGAAAACGCAAAAAGAAGATATTCGCTACAGAAACCAAGCAACAAAATGGAGACGATAATGGTCTTTAGAACAGTTTCTAACAACCAAATTCCTGAGGCACTTAAGTTTACAAAACCATGCATTAAACTAGTTAAGCAAGTGAAACATTGAGGTGGTGGAAAAGCAAGAAAGTTTTTTTGACCAACATGATCTTTATACAATACTTGACAAATGATATGGAGATATTAACAAGGACAGAAATATAAAGTCCTAGAGAAACCTAAACTCAACAACCATTTTTTTACTGATCTAGTGTAAATAACCTTACTAGTTGTTGCATACTCATCTAATTAGTCATCGATTACCATTGAAAAAGTCTTCAAATGAAGGATTCGTAGATGAATGAACAGCAAATGCAATGGCCATATTCTGAAATACAAGATGCATTTATAAAGAGGCAATGCAGAATTAAATCAGAAACAAAAGCAAATCAAATTAAAAGAAGATTGAAGCTACAAACTGTGTAATGGATAGAATGAAATTGTTGCAGTATCAGAATTCCATTTTTTCGCAACTAAATATCATCATCGGATATTCAAAAGCTTCAGTAATAGCTAATTTCACAAATGTTCCTAACGAAATATGATTATATTCTAAGAACATAATTACATAATCGATCAAAGGAGCCATTATCAGTTCACCTCTCTATGAATTATACAATGTCAAATAGTTATAAATACTATGCACATACCACTTAAAGCTAACATTCAAGACTCCCTTGCTGGTGGTAGCACAGCCTACACCCACTTGATCACATCACTCTCCGATAACTTAGTGTGCAACTCCTTCCCTCCTTGTCAAACTTCAGCTATACTTGAAGTAATGCATATGTGAAGTAGCATGTTGGAATGCAAAAACACAGTCGTGCTTACAAAAATTTACCGTTTGACCTTACAAATAGGTTATTTCTATTCATGTTTGATTGCATATACTAGAGCTTTCTGAGCTGATTTGCTGCTATAATCTATTCATATGTCAAGATATTCGGATTTATTTATTCCACAGCCCTTGATCCTTATGAATTAAAAAAGAACTCAATGACCAAAGAAACAAAACCTTGAGACTAACACAAAATGCGCCAAATACATACATACACTTGATATGTACGCCCTGCATCATTCAGCAATAGGGTTAAGCATCTAAATCACAGCTTAAGCAACCAAAACAAGGAACAAATTCACAAATTATTCAGACCACTGACCTTCATCTTGTACAGGATTTTTCTTCCTCCTGTCATGACTGTAATCTTTCACATAAAAATTAAGACGTGTATTTGTGTAATTTTGAAAGATGATATATAAATCAAAATATGATAAAATTATGGGAACATCGAAGGGTGGGTGATGAGATAGGATAGAACTACACCAAATTAAATTGAAATAGGATAGAAATACACTGAATTAGCATAGAAGATGTGCTGCATTTTGTTCTTGAAAATACTAATAGAAGTTATGATTTATGACTTTCTTCTCCAATCAAACTCACAGGATCAAATATATCCGTGTAAACCAGACAAAAAGGTTTTCCTGATGAAAAATTGATGTATAATCCATACCAATGGTGCATTATATGAGATTGCAGAGGAAACGAATCAAAGAATTCCACAATGAAGAAGTAAACTGGTCATCATTAATTAAAAAAGACAAACACATAAAACAGTCATACTATATACCTGTAGAGGAAAGGGAAATAAGTCAGGTAACTCCTAGAGATCCTCCCTTCTTCTTTATTCTTTGACTGCATTGGATCTGCATTTCCACATTGTAAAGATGAAGCTACCGTATGTAGTATTATTAATAAATTCCCAATTTCTTAGAATGATCTATTGGTTTTCTGGTTTACCATGAATGTTAGAATTGCCCGCAGGTTTCCAATATTGACTTCAATAATAGAGATTGCTAACTAAACTTTACTCCTAAAACTGAAAGGAACGCAGGCAACTTTTGTGTAAAACTCTGTAGAAAAAACTGTATAAGATGAATTTGCATGAGTATACACAACAGGATAACGGTTAGTCTAATAAATTAATCTCATTGAGAAACATATCGAGAGATTCTTTTAAAATTGTCATAAGTACACAATTTTTTTTCTGTAGTCATCTGAATGTCAACTAACTTCGACAAGTGTTGCATTCATTCTTGACTATATTCTGATACGAAGTTGATGTTGTTGACAGAACCGGAAATCATGGATATGAACAACTGCTCTCAGAACAATCAAGCCCGCAGTATTGCTCATTTTCCTTTTTGCCAATGCAAATACCTCTACATATATCAGATTATCAAACATATTAGAGATTAATTTTGAAATACAATACGGAAAGGAACATAGAACAAAAATGAAATGCGCCAGTCTCCACCACCACCCCTCTCCAGTGAAAAAATAATTTTAAATAAACAAAAAGGAATATCCAAAATGTAAAATCATGACATACCAAATCATCTAATCAATCAGCTGCAATTGTAAAAATCCAGGTGAATCTAAAGAAAAAACAACTAAATAATACCAATTTGAAACAAAATATGATTAGAATAAAAATCATATTGCGGAATTGAAGGCAGTGAGTATTCTCCTGCAGCCTTGCGATAAAAGTGTTCAACTTTGTTATCAGCTGTAGCAAAACCACTTGTAGGATCACTAGTTTGCCCTGTTTTAATATGAATTATTCATCTTTTTTATCTCGAGCTCCTGCTGGTATTGCCGCATACGTTTTTCCTGCTTTTTCTTTCCAGGCCCCTTCCCATGAAATTGATGCGAAAGCAACCGAAATTGCTCCTTTTCAGTTAGAATTCGCCCATACTCATCAGTCCTCTCAATGTGTATTACTTTTTCCCCTTCCTCCTGATCGCCGCCGAGCTTGCTTTTTTTCTTGTCCGTGTTTCGACCACCCCGCTCAATATCTTCCTTGAGTGTACCTCGTTCTCTCAGACGTTTGAGAGCTACTGACAAACCCTTTCCAATTGGAACTTCACGTATCGTCTCATCTGGAGTTATTCCCGTTTCCTCCTCCTTTACAGAAGGCTCCTCTTCCTCAATTGAGGGATTTGGCAGAACATCAACGTGTTTTTGTTCGTCTAATTCATCAAACTGATGAAGACCCGAGACAAACTCTCCCGTCTCTGTAAAGACAACCTGCTTGTTCTCTTCAGATACACAACTAGGATTATCATCCGGGGTTAAATTATTTGGACGGCGAGTGGCAATTAGCGAAGCAATCGACTCTGGAAAAGTTTTGGCAAGGCCCTCTTGCCTTTTCAAAGCAAGATTTCTGGCTCTTTCATAGTATTTTCTCAACTCCTCGTTATTATCATCATCAAATACTACTGCATCAACTAGGTCCATCTTCTCTCAAAAACTGTGATGACTTCCAAAGAGGAGGAACGAAAGAGACGAAGAACGGAAAAGGTGTATGTATAGTTAAGAGATTAACGGCTTGTTTGGATGGTTGTTGCCCATTTTATTTAATTGTATTTGTATTGTTATCTCAAAACAATGCTTATTTTTATTGTTTAATTAAAATTGATTGTATTGTATTATAAATATATTATTCAGAAACAATAAAAGATCCTTTTTTTTAAACAATCGATTTGGTGTGATGGAACTATTTCTTATTTTTCTTTTTAATTATGCCCTAACTTATTACTTCATAATTTTATTTTAACCTTTATATTTTTTTTATTTTAATCCAAATCTCCTACCCTATAACCTACGTCTTCGTTACTTTTTTCTTCCAACTCCAATGTCGGATATAGGTTTTGACTTTTTTTTTTTGGTTCTTTCTTTTACTTTGATTTTAACTATAATTCTAATTACTTTAGAGAGTCAATTTTTTTTGTGCGGATAAAATTAATTTCTTACTATGTGCCCAACTGTATATATTAATACATATATAATAAAAATGTTATAAAATTCTGTCTCTTGCTCTATATATTTAAAGTAAAGGTATACTACATGTTCAAGCAGAAACTTGGAAGAGGAATAGGGAGCAAGGAAGAGGAGGAACTTGAGAAATCATCAAAGATTTGCACAAAGAAAACCGAAGAAGCCCAGAATAATTTCACAGAGGAAGTCGATGAGCAATCCCAAATTTTGCTAGGTAAGGACGTGTCAAACCTCGAAGAAAGCGGGCAGCACGCGTCGAACTATAATATTATGTATTTTGATACGCGCATTGCACGTGTACCCTATCTCAAAAAGTAATATTTTATTGGAAATTAGCTTGAGTTAATAAATGAAAATTAAGAAAAATTATAAGTTCCTATGAATACAATAAATTTATATACTTTGTAAATTAGGTGTTTATTAATATGAGTACACACATAAAACGCGTACCTGAAGATAATGTGTTTGAATTATACATAATTATAAAATAAAAATTAAAGAAAATTTCCTGAAATGATTAATGCCATCCCATTTAGCTAGCTCAATAAATGAAAAAAATCTTATCATGTAGAAGTTTTCAAATGTCTTATTATGATTTATGATGACTTATATATTTCAAAGATACAATAAAATAATGACAAATCATTTAGAATACATTCATACTCCAAGATACAATAAAATAATGACAAATCATTTAGAATACATTCATACTCCAAGATACAATAAAATAATGACAATTCATTTAGAATACATTCATACTCCAAATCAATGAGCACACATTTAAAAATTTACTTAATATTATTTTTAAATATATTTTGAGTTATAAAATAAGTACTTAAGAAAAATAGTTTAAATTCCTTATGAAGATAATATTGATCCTATTTTGCTAACTTGGTAAAGAACGAATGTCACCTTTTCAATGTACCGATTTGCAAGCTTTTAGCTAATAGAAATATACCTAAGTACTTAAAAATTTCTTTGTTACTACCTTTCTGGCGAAATCACAATTCAGGACTTTTAACATTTTATTTTTCCTTTTATGCTACCTACATTATTATTATTATTATTATTATTATTTTAATTTGATATAAAAGGAGAAGAATAATATCAACTGTTAGGGGGAAAAATTGCTAAGTAAATTTTTTATTTACCACCATCTTTTCTCTTTTGATATAAATGCGTATATGTCTCTTTATTTTGAGGTTTATTCAGTCAAGATTTTTCTTTTGTTTCTAATAACATTCCATTATAAATTGTGTAATAAATTCCAAACTAAAAATATTAGAAAAAAATTAATTGCAATTCTATTAACGTTATATTAATGCTTTATTATTTTTAAACTTAGTATATAATATATATATATATATAAATTTATTCAGTTCGATCAGGTATTTTTTATTTTATTTAAAAAATAAAAAAATTATCCTAAATATTCGTTGCGGTCATAGATTTTTATCGTACCTATAACTTTATCAAGAAAAACCTAATAATCGGTTGGAAAGATTCTGTTAATTTGGTTTTTAGTTGAGTTTCATAGAATCATTGACATCCCCTATATAAAATCTAATGGGACCGTTTTGTTTATTTTTCATAAAAACCAATTTTTAATTTTTTAATTTTTAAATAATATTTTTATTTTAGGTAAAATAGAAAGGAAAAAAAAACACGATATTGTCTTGTTTGCTTAGAACTTTTTGAACATCTTTGTTCACTTGGCCTTGAAATTTTAGGAGCTTTTTGAATTTTCTTGCTATCATATCCTTCTTCACAATAATAGTAATCTTATTATTTTTAATTTGATAAATTAGGAAGTATTTAATAAATACATTTTAATTGATTTAATAATCATAAATATTAGGAATAAAAATATGGGAAATTATGATTTCGTTACCTAATTCGGGTAAGGAAAGAATTTATATAAGGTAAAAAGAAAAATTGATTTTAAAGAAGGAAAGATTTAAAAGTTTAATTAATTTTAAAATTTTAAATATTAGGAAAAATAAATAAATGACAATTTTGCGCAATCAAGATGTGCTTAATATCTAGTAAAGAAATATTTCGGATTTGATAAAAAACTATCTTATTCAATATGGACTCGAATTTGAAAGAAATATTTCATCTTTTAAATGGTATAAGTAAGTCCACTTTTGTTTTCAAGGTTAAGCAAACATGACGAGTTAATGCCAACTGAACAGCACTTCGGAATGATCTAATGATCTTTCCAATAGGGAAAATTAACTTGAAGTAGTTTCAAACGTTGAGAAAAATAATTATAGAATACGTATGCTTTGCGCAATTAGACTCACATGATATAGAATACGTTTTGTCAAAATTATATTGCATTATAACATTGCAATAAGT